ACCCCGCTCGGCTAACTTTTTGATTTATTGTAGAAATGAGGTCTCGCCAAGTTGCCCAGGTCCGTGGGCTCAGGTAATCCTCTCACCTTGGCCTCCCCGAGTGCTGGGATTATAGGCCTGAGATACATGCCTGGCTGATCCTTCTGAGTTTATGGAACCCAGAAGAAACTCTTGGTTTACTCTCTCATTCTTTCCCTGGACCCCCTAACATGCTTCACTTCATTTTTTTATATTTCCAACCCTACTGATAATGTGTCCCATAGTCCCTGTTTCCTTGTTCCATGTGCATGCCCGCTCTTGGCTTCATTCCCCTACCCTTTCTGATGACCTATTGCCACGTTTTCCCGTTCTCTTCCATCTCCCAATTCCATGTCCATCCAACGCACTATCTTCCCTTCCTTTCTCATCACACAGCCTCTCTTTCCGTTCCTAGGTGGAGTATCCCTATGGAGAGCTCATCATCTCCCTGGGCTTCTTCTTTGTCTTCTTTTTGGAGTCGCTAGCATTGCAGTGCTGTCCTGGGGCTTCAAGAGAATCAACAGTGCAGGTGGAAGAATTGCATGGGGTTCACGTCCTTGAACTCCACAGCCATGGACCTCAACCCTCACCCTCATGGGGTCCCCTCCGGGCCCTCATCCTCTTGCTCTCACTCTCCTTTCACTCGGTGTTTGAAGGTCTAGCTGTGGGGCTGCAGCCAACAGTAGCAGCTACTGTCCAGCTCTGTCTTGCTGTCCTGGCTCATAAGGGGATCATAGTGTTTGGCGTGGGAATGAGGCTCGTGCAGTTAGGCACTGGGTCACGATGGGCCGTGTTCTCCATACTATCATTAGCACTCATGTCCCCTGTGGGTCTAGCCCTAGGGCTGGCTGTGGCTGGAGGAAACTCTGAAGGGGGGCAGGGCTTGGTCCAGGCTGTTTTACAGTGTGTGTCAGCCGGTACATTCTTGTATGTCACCTTCCTAGAAATTCTCCCCCAGGAGCTAGCTGGTCCTGCAGCCCCTCTAGCCAAGTGGGCCTGTGTAGCTGCTGGTTTTGCCTTCATGGCCTTTATTGCTTTATGGGCCTGAGACGTTTCCAACTTTTCTGATGGACCCATCTAGAACAATCTCCCTATTCCCAGGTGAAACGTCCCAAATGGCTTTGGCCCTCATACATGTCTTCACTGAGACTAAGTGACGTTCAGTAGGTATTATCCCCATGGACTGCACCACAGCTTTTTTTTGCATGTAATCCCATTTAGGTTGAGTATCTACTAATTGGAGAATTGGTTGAGTGTCTGTTAACTGGAGAATTGGTGTAGAGACACTCCAGATTTGATTCCTGTCCCATTTATACTACCATGTGTAATTAAATGTCCATTTTGCCCTTCTCCTTCAGCCATCTTGTATTTCATTTCTACTGGTTGCCTGGAAGCTGCCTGGTACAAGAAGTGTCAGAATGGGGTATGGAAAGGGTGAGTGTTGATTGCAGTATTTCCTTTTCTTTTCTTTTTTTGAGTTCGACGCTCAGGGCCACTGTAGCCTCAACCTGCTGGGCTCAGGTGATCCTTCAGCCTCAGACTTTCAAATAGCTGGAACTACAGGAGTGCACCACCATGCCCAGCTAATTTTTTGACTTATTGTAGAGATGGAGGTCTCGGCACGGTGCTCAGATTGGTCTCGAACCCTTGAGCTCAGGCAATCCTCTCACCTCTGCCTCCCAAAGTTCTGAGATTATAGGTGTAAGCCACCATACCCCGCAAATGCAGTATTTCCTGCTGGAATTAGGGCTTCTAGCAATCCTGTCGGTTGCTGGCCACACCCCCAGACTGGGGAACCTGGTTTAAATTCTAACAGTTCCCTTCCACCCTACAAACAGAAGATGAGAAAAAGAGCCAGAACTCTCAGCATTTAAAGGGAAAGAAGTTTAAAAGCAGAAGCTGAGGTCGTTGATTCTTTTCCTCCACTAGCCGCACCCACCCCACTCTCCATACCAATCATCAGTCACTCATAACATGTCCAACGGAATTTTCTAAAACCTACTTTAGAGTTATGGGGTACCAGTAAATGTTTGCCACATAAGGAGACTGCATGCAAGAGAAGTTAGGGCTTCTAGCTGTCCCCTCTCTCTCTCTCCTTGGTAGTGGGCAGGGTACTCTGTGTTGCTATGTGTTCCCTTTCGTCCTCTCTCCCTCCCTCCCCTAGCAGTGCCCAGTGTCTGCTTTTCCCACTCTTGTGCTAACGTGACTAGTTTTCAGGGTCTGCTTATGAGTGAGAACATAAGGTATTCAGTTCTTTTTCAGTTCATTTAGTATGATGGTCTCCAACTGCATCCAAGTTGCTGCAAAAAACATGATTTTGTTCTTCTTTATGGCTGCATCGTATTCCATCGTGTATTTATACCACTATTTCTTTATCAAGTCCATTTTTGGTGGGCCTCTAGGGTTGGTTTCATGTTTTTGCTATTGTGAATACTGCGGCCATAAGCATGTATGTGCAGGGGTCTTGTTGATGGAGTGGTATATGTTCCTCCAGGTGTATTTCCATGAGAGGGATTGCTGTATTATATAGAAGCTCAATTTTTAGTTATTTTAGAAATGGCCACACTGCTTTCCATAGAGGTTGAACTAGTTTACATTCTCGCTAACAGTATACAAGCACTCCCTTTTCTCTGCAGCTTTGCCAGCACCTGTTGTTTTTTGACTTGTTAACAATAGCCTTTTTTTTTTTTTTGAGTTGGAGTCTCACTCTGTCGCCCAGACTGGAGTGCAGTGGCACACTCGTGGCCAACCCAGCGTCGACCTGCTGGGCTCAGGAGATCCTTCTGCCTCAGCCTTCCAAATAACCGAAACTATAGGAGTGCACTACCACGCCCAGTTAATTTTTTGATTTATTGTAGTGATGAGGTCTCACTAAGTTGCCCAGGCTGTTCTTGAACCCGTGGGCTCAGGCAAACCCCTTACCTTGGTCTCCCAAAGTGCTGGAATTACAGGCTTGAGCCACCGTGCCCAGCTTCTTCACGGGTTTTTTTTGCTGCGCAAAAGCTTTGAGTTTGATAAGTTCCTACCTGTCTATATTTGCTTTTGTTGCAGTGGCTTTTGAGTACTTGAATTCACTGCCTACTCCGATGTTCAGAAGGGTGTTCCCTATGTTTTCTTCTAAGATTTTTATAGTTTGAGGTTTTACATTTAAGTCCTTGATCCTTTTTTTTTTTTTTTTTTTTTTTTTT